ACAAGAGTGTCCATGCAGTGTGGACACTGTCTTGCGTAAAAGCACATCGCTTTTGCAATGCACTTTTGATGTGTGGACGTGCTTTTGTGCAAGAAGTTTTTGTGGAAGATCTCTTCCGCAAAAAGCTTCTTGTGTAAAAACTCTGCAGTGTAGACAAACCCTTAGGCTGTGTCTACACTGGCCCCTTTTCCGAAAGGGGCATGGTAATTTTCAACTTCGTAATAGGGAAATCCGTGGGGGATTTAAATATCCCCCGCGGGATTTAAATAAAGATGTCCGCCGCTTTTTTCCGGCTTGTAGAAAAGCCGGAAAAGAGCGTCTAGACTGGCCCGATCCTCCGGAATAAAGCCCTTTTCCGGAGGATCTCTTATTCCTACCTTCAGGAATACCTGAAATTTTCCGGCTTGTAGAAAAGCCGGAAAAGAGCGTCTAGACTGGCCTGATCCTCCGGAATAAAGCCTGAAATTAAAATATCTGAAGGTAGGAATAAGAGATCCTCCGGAAAAGGGCTTTATTCCGGAGGATCGGGCCAGTCTAGACGCTCTTTTCTGGCTTTTCTACAAGCTGGAAAAAAGCGGCGGACATCTTTATTTAAATCCCGCGGGGGATATTTAAATCCCCCGCGGATTTCCCTATTACGAAGTAGAAAATTACCATGCCCCTTTCGGAAAAGGGGCCAGTGTAGACACAGCCTTAGTGTTTCTGTTGTGAGGTATGAACTGATGGTGAGTATATGCCTCTGGTTGGAAGCTGTCTGTAAGGAAGATATGGCCTGTCTCCCAAAGTCTGTGTGAGCAAGGGACCATAATCTATGATAGATTATAGATCCTTGATGACGTGTAGGAGAGGTTTTAGCTTGGGACTGTCAGTAATGGCTAGTAGTCTGTTTTTTTTCTTTGTTGGGTCTATCCTGTAGTAGGTGACTTCTGAGAACCACTTGACTTTATCCATCTGGGGGTTGTAGTTTTAAGAATACTTGATATAGAACCTGTAGATGTTTGTCTCTGTCTGAGGGATTGGAGCAAATATGGTTGTATTTTAAGGCTTGGCTATAGACAATGGATTGTATGATGTGTTTTGGATGAAAGCTAGAGGTGTATAAGTCAGTATAGCATTCAGTAGGTTTCCAGGATAGTGTTATATTTATGTGACCATCAATTATTTGTACTCCAGTGTCTAGGAAGTGGATTTCCTGTGTGGACTGGTCCAGGTTGAGATTGATGGTGGGGTGAAATTGTTGAAATCCTGGTGGTTTCCTTCACGGGTTTCCTTCCCGTGGGTCCAGATGATAAAGACATCATCAATATAGCATAAGTAGTGGAAGGGCAGTTGGGGATGGGAGCTGAGGAAGCGTTGTTCTAAGTCAGCCATAAAAATGTTGTACTGGGCAGCCTTTATCTTAAGATGATTAATTTGCTATTTTTTAACTGTTTGAATAACCCTTATAGTTTGGTTGGCACTTTTTGAATTTTTGCTTTTTGTTGTTGTTGCTATTTTGCTTATTTGGTGCTTTTTATTTGTTATTTGTTAGCATACCATACATTTATTATTTACATTTGTTAGGCATTTGTTCCCATTTTGACCTTTTACGATTAAATGGGTTGCATTTTATGTAATTGTTTTAAAGCAATTAATGTGAAGTAATTTTTGGGTTTGTGGTTTTAATTTAAAATATATATTTTAATTTCATACTATACATAATATTTAGTAACAAACATTATGCTAATTAATACAAAAATATAATAGGATGAATTATAATATATAAAACTGATGTTGAGGAGAGATGTTAGTTATTAACGATGCAATATTAATGGTCTATTATTATTTGTTGGGCTTGTGTACTCTTCTCTCCTATTTTTCCAAATGTGTTATTAATATATAATACTGCAGCTTTGGAAAGTACAATATCAAATTAAGTATATTTGTTGAGAGAGTTCATACTAGTTTTTCAGGTCAGAGAAAAGTTTATTATTGGATTAAAAAATTTTTCCACATCAGTTAACTGGATTAACTGTAAACTACCTTTACTAGTTATGTTCAGTCTTTTTAATGCTTAGCTTTCTTAGTGAAAATGTTGCAGTTATGCATTTTGCATAACAATTATGGGTCAAATTTTGAAGTGTTTATTTTGGCTTTTACTATCATGTGCAGCCAAAACTCTTACTGAGACTGACTTCATTATTTAGCTTTTTATTAATTACATAAGCAATCTTACTTCTAAATTTCTGAGAGAAAATATCTGTACATATGTTTATATTTAGAGAGGGACTATACTTAAACCCAGGTTTTGAACACCCACAAATTGTGGTGAAATTCAGTTTTGGATCAAAATTTAGTAGCTGTCCAAATGTGCCAATCCAAAGTTCTAAGGGATAGATCCTGTAACTGTGTAGTCCCATTTACTTCAAGAAGTATGTCAATTTAGGTCACAATCAGGCCCAAATCTGTATCCTCCAGAACTTCGGAAAGTTTGCGACAGGGTTTAGATTCAAACTTTGTGGTATGGGCACAACTGTAATACATTGGCATATAGCTTGTAAGTCAATTTCTAAAACGCTTTGGGGATTTTTCTCAGTGAAATATATACACAATAGTTATCTGACTGTCTTCTTAAAGCTGGCCTAAATCAGACCTACAGTTAAGCATTCAGAATCTAGTCTGATTAGTAGGTTATATATTTTGTGGGTGTGGCTCCATTTCTGGCTGTGGCTCTGTGCCATGGGTCAGGGTGGGGGAGGTCATGGATAGGTTCCATTATGGGTAAAGGAGGGCGAAACCGAAAAGGTTTGGGGAATGCCCTACTGGGAGGGAAGAAGGGAGAGAAAGAACTGGAGGATCAGTGTAGCAGCAGACTTACCATCTCAGTATCCTCAGACTTCCGCTGCCATGTCTGTTCTTACTCATTCTGTATTGCTCTGGCAATGGCTTTCACCTTGTGTAGGAGGTGAGCACTTTGGGCCTGCTCCAAAACCGACAGGATTTCAAAGAAACATATGTCCTAGGGACATATGCGTCTCATCGTGTGTAAACTGCTGGAACTCCACTGAATTCAAGGGAGATATGAGAATTTACATTATTAGATTCCTTATGTGCCTCTCCTCAAATCCATTTCCTCCCAGGCCAAGACTGATTATGCTGCCAGGTATGGACATATGGGCTGGATTTGCTCCTCAGTAGAAGACTTGTACATATTCATCAACTACATAAACACAGACCTAAGCAATAAGCACAGTCCCAGGAATAGCACAAAGCACACACATTAATGACATTAAAAAATAATGTAGATTCCAAAATCCCAATCTTCCCTTTTTTGTAATTAAATATCATGTTTCTGAATGAGCAAGGAAAACTTCAGGCAATCCACATAAGATATAACAAATATTAATCTGTAGAGTACAAGACTTCCAAAGAGCTGGAAGTGAACTCAGGAGGAATATAAGTAGCTCCAAAATGAACAAAATACCAAAAAAGCTCTTGGAAGCTAGAAGATCACTTAAGCCCAAATTCTCAGAGGTTTAAAGACGCTGAACTTCCATCAATTTCATCTGGTGTTCAATGTCTACATATTTCTAAGGCTCTGGGCCTCTACATTCAACATTCCTAAACAATTCATTAATGCATAAAATATGCATGACATATGTCCGTCCAGCTTTTGGAAATGGGTTTTAGGCACATTTGAAAATTTTCATTCAGACCAATTTAAAATGGGTTAGAAAAAATGATGTTCTTTTGTTCAGTGGCTTGTTAGTCAAAACAGAAAATACTTGCATCTTTGCTTTGTATCATAGACCTATTTTTATTTCCAAATATCTCAGGGGGAGAGGAAGGGGAGGGTTTGCTTTCCCCTGTAGTTAATATATTACAGTTATTGTTTACCTAAAATATAAGTATGTTAGAATATAGCAGTTCTAGATATATTTTGCTGTAGATCCAAATCTTATTTTCATAACTACATGAAGGCTGATCTCTCCAGCCTTGCACCTTGTATAGTCATTTACTGTTGTGCAAAATTGGTGTAAAATGATACTCATTGATCTTGGAGCATTTTACACCCACAACACACAAGGTAAATCACTATATAGGGTAAAGGGAGTGGAGAATCAGCTCCTATTAATTGATCAATGTTCTATGTAGGTTCAATGGGTATAGGAGCATTAGCTTGGTGACCAAATGTTCTTAGGAAAATAGTAAAATTAAAAAATATACTTGGGAGGGTAGCAATGAATGTATGTAGCAGGTGATAGGGCTTTAAAAACCAGCAGTGTGAGAGTCATTTTGTCTGCTAACCTCTTTCCAGGTTGAATATTTTCTTATGTAATCCTTCTGCCAGGTAGCGCCGGCAGCAGCCAGAGCCGGGTTCAATATCTAGGGGTTCCTTTTCATCCATCTCACACAGAACCGGTTCGAGCCCCCACCCAGTAGCCTGGGAAATTCACACATCTCTGGGTGCCTCTGAGAGGCAATGCTTCCCCACTTGCAAGCACAGAGTCTGAGCATAGAAAATAAACTTTTAATGAAAGAAGGAGAGAAGTCACACGGCATTAGCTTGGGAAAATACCACAACCAGAGTTCATAACTCCCCAGACACATCACCCTGATGACTCCACTCATTGAGTCTGAGGCAAGGCCACCTTTGCGCTGCTCCTGTGGTTTGCTTGCTCCTGCCAAATGCCCTCCTGGCCGCCCGCCGGTCACACCTGCCAGCTGCCCTGCTGGCCGCCTGTTGCTTCCCCTCCCAGCTGCCCGCCATTCGCTCCCGCCAGCAGCCCTGCTAGCTGCCTGCTCCTGCCAGTTGCCCTGCTGGCCACCTGTCGCTTCTCCTACCAGCCGCCCACCAGTTGCTCCCGCCAGCCTCCCTGCTGGCCTCCTGCTCTTGCCAGCCACTCCGCTGACCTTCCGGCTGCCTGCCGGTCAAGATGGGTCTGGCTCCAGTCCAAACTAGTGACTTCAGCTCTTAGGCACTACTTAGGCTGGCCAAAAGATTCCAGCTTCTGTTGGAATAACAAAGAGACTTCTTATGGAGTCTGCTTTAGGTCTATCCTTAGAACAGCGGGGAAAGGAGACAGGTTGAACCAGTCTTACAGCTCATGCCTGGTGGGCATGTAGCTGGCTGGCTGGCTCAGTCTCTTCCCCCCAACTCCGTCCACTCAAATCTGGAAAGGGTAGGCTTGTTCATCTGAGACCCTTTACAATGACAGTGTTTCTCCTGCAAGCACTGGTGTCATATTTTACAGTTCCTATGTTTAGGAGTAGCCTGGTTTGTGACCCCACAACAGCCAAATTAGTTATAATACACCACATTCCATTCCAACAATTGACCATCCATCAGACCTATAGCATTGGCAGAACTGGATTTATATAACCACACCCAGGATTCCTTCCCCATTCCAGCATGAGCTGTATTTACATACCAACAGTTAATTATCTTGCAGAGCTAAACAATTGAGTAAGTATAACCACACCCAAGGCTGCTCTCCCCTTGCAGCTGGCTGCATGCGAGCAGTCGTTCAGACCCTGCCTACATCTATACCAGACATTCAAGAGTCTTGCTTTGCATTAGCATGTCTGCCTGTCAGACCAACAATGCTCATATCTGGAAAAATAGGAGACAAATTAGAGAGTTCGGCACTAGGTGTCAAGAGCCTGGAGGAATGCAAAAGGGAAGGAACTCAGATGCTCCCTTCTGAAGCTGCAAATAAAGAAGTATCTAAAATGCTCACTGGATGTAGAAATAGAACATATAATACTTCAATTATTCAAACTCTCATTTGAATGTCATATGCTATTGGACCATCCATGGAAAATCCCAGATAGAAAGACCCTCTTTCTATGCATTTACCACTTCTGACCTGGCCTAAGAAAGCAGGTCGCACTGGTATACTGATTTTTTCATCAATTCCATAGTCCACAAAAACAAAATCATCAGTGACCTTGCCATTTAGACGAAGTAATAGATTTTGGACAGCCTTTTCTTCCCATATGCACCCTTTTTGCCACCAGGAATGCAAGTCTTGTCCTTGGCGCTTACTGAAAAACTGATCTATTTTTCCTTTGTGGACAAGTCTATTCAGACCTTCACGACGCCCAAGGTAGAAATGAGCAATAGTTTGCCTGTAACGACATATTTGTTTGTATTGCCCTCTAAAAGACTTCTTCAGTGCTGTGACATACCTTTCCATTTGTCTGGAATCCTCATCTAATTGTTTTTCCTTCTCTGGCCAGAACAATAGAGAGGCTAAGAAGTAAGGTGCTGCAAATCGATGCTCTAGACCTACATGCTGTAGCATTTTTCGAAGCTGTTCTTTCAATTCATGAAGAGCACATATCTTCTTGGATTTAGGTTTAATGCAACTGAGAATAATGTTTGCCAAAATGAAGTTCTGCTTCTCCTTCAACTTGAATCCATATGAGCATTTTTCAATCAAAAATTTATATTTATTCACTATGTCTTCCATGTTGCTTTCAGGTTTTTCATGACTGTTGAGATACTCCAAAAGCCCAGGAAATCTGTCTGCTTTGGAAGCCTCCAAACTTCTCCTGCAATGCTCCACCTGCCAAGGCAAACTGAGTTTTGAGCTCATCAGATTGTCCCCCAATTTCTCAGGATTCAAAAGGCAAAATATTTCTGCATATTTTTTGAAACATTCTCGAACCCTCTTACGTGTTTTTAACTCCACATTTTCTTTTTCAATATTTCTTGGTTTTAGAAGAACAAAGTAGTTCTCAAAAAACTCAAATGCTTCCTTCAAACTTGAACGCAAATTAGATAAATAATTACGATAATCGTCAAGTACAAACTTAAATTCTTGATCTTCAGTGTCACCAGTTGCTGTTAGGATACCATGCTGTCCTGACAAATATTGTAGCAAATCTTCCTGGGACAGTGTATTTTTTTTTTTTGAAAAGAGGAGTACAGCCAAGAATATCTATAGTGTATAGACCAGTTTCTATCTCCCCCAAATAGCCAGATGTATTATAAGTATCATACCTCCTTTTAGACTTTTGGAGTTGCAAAGCTTCTCTTACATTTTCTGTACTTTCATTCTGTGCCTGGGAATCTTTAAAAGCCTCTGAAGCACACTTAGCAAGATCTAGCAAATGTTTCAGGTCTTCTGCAGTTATGACCTTTCTCTTTGCATTTTCATCCACCCAAATTTTTATCTGACTTTTAAAGACTTGGCCTAAAGTATCTGATATATATGAATTGCGAGGGGCTCTTTTTTTGGCTTTATTGGCCCACTCCAGAGCAGAGACAAAATTCTTGTCTATAATGTAATAGTGTCTTGCTAAAGCTTGGCAAATGAATGGGTTTTGGCTAAATCGAAGGGCTCCTTCACATAACACACTTTCAACTGCAGCACTACCTTCTTCCATCTGTATTTTTTCAATTAATGGGGAAAACAACGTGTCTGCATCATCTCCGTGTTCTTTACGTTGTCTGGTAAGCAGCATACTTTGCACATCATCTATAAGTTTTCTTCTTCCCAAGCCAGAATCATAAAATAAATTCTCTTTTAACAATTGCAGTGTTATTGAACTTTTAGTTAACCCATAGGTTAGATTAAATTCTTCTAGACAACAATCAGCAATCAATGGGTGAGTGATACGCACTCCTTTATATGTTCCATAGTCTTGCACCTGACTTTGTATTAGAATATTAGAACAAATTCCCATCTTGTCTTCTAAACTTTCTTTGCCCCAATATTTGCCAATTATTCCTAAGAAATCTTCACATTGTGATACTGAGATAGTGGACTCTGTAACATAAGAGTTTAATATTGCTAGGAAGGAAATAAGTTGTCCTTGTTTGCTACTAATGTCCAAGCCTTTCAGTGTATTCTTGACCACATTTTTTATATACTCTGGATTAAATTGTTCTTTCATAATCATAAATGAATAAAAATCTTCAGGGTGCTGATGTTGCTGTTTAATTTCTTCTAGCTTCTTCTCAAAAGCTCTTTGCTCTTTGGAAGAAAGTTGATGTTTTAGATTAATGCTGTCTGATTGGCTGCTCTTTGAACTTTCCACAGGATTCTGAGATCTCATACAATTTATAATGATCACTAGAGGGTTTTCATATCTAATGCATTTTCCTACTATAGCTGATTGAATTTCACGCTGCAGAAAATAGACATTTTCTTGTTCTTCAAAATCGTCTACAAGAAGTAATATTGGCAAGTAGTCGTCTTGGTCAGTTGCTCCATAGGTGATTAAAGTTGTCAACTGTGTTGCAATTTCTGCAAAATCAACAGTTTTATTTTTCAGAACAACACATCTGAATTTCTTCCTTAACTCCCAGAGAACGTGCATAGCTAAGGTAGTCCCGCCACAGCCTGGAGAGTGATAAAGGTTGATAACTTTTGTTGATGTTTGTGTAGAAGACTGGGATGAAGATTGAATCAGCTCTTCAAGTTTTTCATAACTGTCCCTTTTAATAAAAGGTGAAGAATAGTTTTCAGAAGAGAAATAAAAATTCCACCATGTCACTTTGCCTCCCCGGTAAAAATTCTCTTCCTGAGATTTTATGAATTCAGAAAATTGAGTTTTATCTTTCTCTATATCTGTGTCAGCGCATTCATTTTCACATAGTATTTCTAATGCTGTCATGAAGTCTTCTTCCTTCTTTAGAAGAACAGTAGAAGAGCCTTTACATGGTAAAAGCCTCTGAGAAGACTGTGTCATAGACTTCAATTTAAGAATTGTTCCATTCACTGCTGGAAGGTTTAAATTAGCAACACATCTCTCGGTAAGGTCTTTGGGATTAATAAATCTAGCTTCCAGAAGATCTTTCCATAGTTGGAATGTTTGTGCACCAATACAAATGCAAAGCATGTCTTCTAGCCCTTCTAGCTCTTGGTAAAATGTGCAGAATGTTTCAATAAGGGGATCCCCTGGATCTTCCACTTCAGAGAGCAAAAGAAACACTACCAGAAACTTTCCTCTTTGCAATACATCTGGGTTTGAAAGAAACGAAATTAATTTCCTGACTTCAGCAGCCCTCTTTTGTTGCCACAAACAGGGATTTAAAGGTTGATAATTTTCATCATTAAGGTCTGATCTGCCATTGCAGAAAATCCAGGTAGGCTGGTAATAGAGATTCAGATCTTCAATTATTTCAGGAACTGCTTTCCCTTTCATATGATACTGACTTGGAAAGTGAAGGTTTGCACCTCGTTTTTCTCTGTATTTTTTGGCCATCCCATTATTTTCTGACTGAGAATCAAACTCCAGAACAGCAAACCATTTTACTTCCTGCAGAAAGTCTAAGTGCTGTATTTGAGATGGATGACTCTTGTTTGTTACTAATATATACCAGTCATAATAGGAATTATCCAGCAAGTCCTTGTTACCTGTAAGTAGGTTAATCAGCTTTCGACCCTCATTCTCTTTCTTCTTTCGTTTTTCTTTCTGTTCTTCCTCTGCTTCTTTTCGACAATCTGCTACAAATGTAATCCTGGATTTAAATGACTCGTGTTCTTTTGGATTATTATAAATATTTTTAGAGCTGGCTCCATCCCGTACAAATAAAGATCGTTCACAAGTTTTACTCTTAAAATTGTAATTGTTAGTATAGAAAAATGTTGCTTCACATATAGAATGTTTTGGAACTACATCTACTTCTATGACAAATGTATTTGATGGGGTGTTATTTTGCAATAATACTTCCACAAATCTGGGTTCCCTAATGCAGGCTTTTGCAATGCTGACAAAACTTTTCTCAAAGTACTTTTCAATTTTGTTGTTAAACTCATCAATAAATTCATCTTTATTGGTTAGTTTTACTCCTATAATTTCTCCGTGAGGCTTGTTGCTTACTCCAAAATGAATAGTACCATTGGTGCGGGAATTCATGCATGCAGCAGCAAATCTAAAGGTTTCTTTGCTAAATTTCATCTTAATTTCTTCTTCTGTTGCATTCTCTGTGTTTGTTAACAGTTTGAACTCATGAGCTGGCTCAATGAGATTCAGTGGCCCTGTTTCAGGGACATTAAGAAGATTGTGCTGTATATAACGACGACTATCATGGAACTCATCAAAAGGATATGGTAAACAGTTTTGTCTTGTTGGATGCTGGTTATTTTCCAGTAATTTCTCTGATTTACCTTTTGCTTCATCTACCTTGTTTTCTATTGCATCTGTGAGCACAGATTTTATAGACTCGGTGCATTCAGATACTCTAAGTTCTTGTGATTCACTGGTATCTCCTGTCTTTGATTTTCCTTTATCCTTTTCATCTTGCTTTGCACTTTGTCCATCTTCCTTCTCCGTTAAATATTTTTTATCAAGAGTCTTTTCACTATCTTCTTGTCTAACTAATTGAGCTCTGCTTTGAACTAGAAAGTTGCATTTCAATGCATCCATAATTTGAAGTGCTGGGCCATGTGTTATACCTATATCTTTAAGATCTTTTAGAGTAAACAGTTTCAAGGCTGAACCGGTCACATCTTGGCTTACCAAGATTTCACCATATTTCTGATCAATCTTAAGTTCTTCAGTTACCCATTGTTTTACTTGTTCTTTTGTCCACTCATCAATATTTGAGGACAGATTTGGTCGTTCAAGCTTCTCAAGGTTTTTAACTTTAGCCCTTGAAAGAAAAAAACAAAAGAACGAAAGCTGTTATCTATTACACTATATTAGTTTTAAAAGCTCCTTTAAATCATTTACCATCACATACTTTCATTAATGGTATATGAAACAAAATATATAGAAAAGGAAGAGAAGATAATATATGGAGAAGATAATAATACTGTCTGGCTCTTTATACACAGGGTTAAGGCACTATATATATGTCAATCAGATTAGCTTCAATATAGTGCAAAAGAGTAAAGATATTTCACTTTGCAGCTGCTGGTTTAAATTAAATTAAGGCGAATAATGAACAAAATTTGTGAGTCTCTGATAGCCATTTGATGTTCTATATCAAATCATTTGGAAGCTTTGGTCCCTTTATTTGTCAACAGATGTTGATAAAACAACTTCTATTGTCACAATTGGATAGAATTGGTACTAGGTTTGTAATCTCAGCAGGAGGTGGTCCAACTTTTTAAGCCCACAATCAAGAGCCTGAGGAAAATTTTCTGCTCTGTTACACTCCTTCTACACTCCTTCTACCGCCAATAATGGAAGATCTGTTGTAGACAGAAGGATGGAAGCGTTACCGAGAGGAGATGGCCAACGAGCAGAGAAAGCAGGCATTAGTGTATGACAGGTCCCCAAGTGACCCTGAAGACTTACCCTCCTGTGAGAATTCAGTCATTGGAGAGACACCAGAAAGAGGGGACTATAGGAGTCATAAGGAGTGCAGTAGCAAGAGGGACATGCAAGAGGGACAAGTGATCCAAAGGAATATGAGACACTTTTGAGCCAGGAGTATGAGACACCACACTTGGAGAAAGGATGCCGAGCTATGGAGATTATCACAGAGACAGAGAACCATTTGGAGGCCAGTCCCACAAAGAGGAAGAACATTCCACAGAGAGAGAGAATTTGATAAACTTAGAGCAGTGTTTCCCAAAGTGGTCCATGAAGCCCCTTTGAGAAACCTGCTAACTGGCCACTCTGGTGTGCTTACTTACCAGCTCCATGGCCACGGAGCCTTGTGGCTCCCATTGGCTCTGGTTCACCATTTGCAGCCAAGGGAAGCTGCAGGAAGTAGTGACCCGGCCCATGCTGCATCCCATGCCTCCTCTTGTCTGCAAACAGTAAACCGGAGCCAATGGGAGCCGTGAGGTTCTGTGGCCGGGGAGCCAGTAAGTAACACACCGGAGTGGTCAGTTAGCAGGTTTCTAAAAGTGGCTTCTTGGACTGCTTTGAGAAACACTGCTCTAAGTCTATCAAACTCTCCCTCTCCATGGAGACAGAGGGAGGTTACTCCCAGTGTGGTCAGCTGATGAACAGACACGACTATCTCAAAGTCTATGTAACCAGCTGAACCTGTGGCGAAGACAGGACTCCAACTCGGCCATGTTTTAGCAATCTCTGGTTGCAGGGATATGGATAAGGAGCTGGGCTTCAATTATTTGTTTTTAAAGTTTACATTAAAATGTTTGCAAGTAATGGAAGATGTAGCATAATCACTGGAATTGGAGTCAGAGGGCCCATACTTCACGAAGGAACAGTTATTAAGGGAAACAGGCTGTGCAAGGAACTGATCTGGAAGCATTGGAGAGAGCAGTGCACAGGGTTTCAAGAGTTCTGTTTGTTCAACTTAATCTATATCCAGCATCACTCTTTGCTAATGAAGAAGTACTGAGGGAAGATGGTCTATCTGAACCCCTGGGAAGGTGGGGAGCTCTGCCAGCCCTGGAAATGGGGTGGAAATGAAGCCTGTGGACAATTGTGAAAAGTCACATTTCTATATAACTGACCCTAGCCTGTGAGGGAGAGAGTGGCCAGATGAGTTTTATGGGGGTTGAAGATTTTGTTGTCTATATTTTTTGTTTGACTTTTGGCCATGGAAGGGTCAAACTTTTGTCTTGACCAGAGGGCTAGGCCACTCCGACAGCTGGAATAGTTCCCCCTGTGTTTTTCAGCCTATGGCACCGTGGTTCTAGTCCACATTAGTAGATGGGTTAGAATGGAAAAGCTGTGACACTATGACAAGCAACTATGTTCTCAGCCACCAAAGACTACAGATTTTGACATAAATATTTTTTGCTTTATTCCTTATCAGGTGCTACCAAGTGCTATATATCAAACCAGGATCCAAAATTCACGATGAGATTTTTGTAAGTTTATGTACCTTCTTCTTTGGAGATAAAACTGCTTTATCTAAGGTATTTTGTCCTCTGTCAGACAGAGAGAGATGAGCATATGGGTCAAATTATGTCAATTATAGCCCGGATAGTTTGTATGTCTGACAGGCTATTCCAGAGAAAACAGGAGAAAATAGCATTTTTCTTACATTTTTCTTCAGTCTTTTGGCTATTATTTTTAGAAAAGGGGTCTGAATTGTATAGTTTGGAACTGAATCTACTAGAGCTGAAATTTGGCTTGGCGCCAGCTCCAGTATGAAAAGGTATGTCACAGGGATGTGGCCGTACTGAAGCAGAGATTTATTCTGGAAAGATATCCAGAAGAAATTCTGAGGATGGTTATGAAGGCAAGCAGTGAGAAAGAGAGAGAGAGACTGTTTCAGGCATAAAGGTGGCAGGAAAAAGATATAGATTACTAGTGGGAGAAGGAGACAGACAAGCTGCTAATTCAAACACATTTGAAATGTTCTACAACTTTCCAGTGTGTCTTGCTCTGTTATCGAGTAGCTATGACCACACTGAATTTCCACATGACTCTCTCCTTTTCACTGAGCACAAGAGAACCCTGGACTATTTGTACTAAATTATTACTTCCTAATCAAATAATTTGCAGCTACCACTGCTGAATCAGTAGCATTAGTCAGCTTAATGTACCTTTTTTTCCCCATAATGGAATTCTTCTGAAAGAAGAGCTTTTTTTCTTAGTCTTTTTCAGTGAAGAGAATCCCTGCAGGCTGAAAAAAGAAACAGTAGATTATGTAAGCTTTCCTACCAGCACAGTTTCTCAGGCTGCCTATCTGCACAGTTTCATATATATGAGTACAGGTAGGATGCTGGGACATGTTGGAGAAGTACATAGAATGTCATAGAATGAAGTGATTCGTCTGGCTCCAGTTCAGGTTTTATGGGCTTGAGGATAGGTGGCAAGTATGCCATGGAGCCAATGCTTGCACATATCTTATCCTTTGCACAGCTCCATCTGTGCCTCCCCTCTTTTCACCTTGCATGAGGTAAAGGGACAAAATATACCTCTATATTGGTAAAGTACCTTGTGAACTAATATATGATGCTATATAACTGATTATTAACAATACTAAAACTAAAGCACCTATTTTATAAATAGCATTTTCTAAGAAAAACAAACAAACAAAAAAACCCCAGCAAACAAAAAACCATTTGCTTATTTTTTTGTCACTCCTAAGGATTTAAGTTGCTTTATTACGGAGTTTATTTCATCATCAGACATAAACCTGAAATTCTTGTAAAGGACATTAAAATAGAAAATCACATTGTGACAGAGAATTTGTTTTTAGCCTAGCAAGTTAGAATCAGAGGATTATGGGGTGGAAGGGATCGGGAGAGGTCATCTAAGCAAATGTTTCTCAACCTTTCTTTATAAAGTACCCCTTTAAAAAAATGTAAGTACCCCCAGTACCTACAGTTTTCAGACACACAATTTTTTTCCTACTATTGCAACACATTTGTTTAAACAATTTAATCGTAGCTGGGTGGGTGATGAAATTTTTGGGTGTAAAAAGTACAAAATTAATAACGTGCTGTAAAACTTAAAACAAAAATTCAGTTTTCTCCAAGTTTCAGTTCTGTTGATGTACCCCCCAGACTTCTCTCAAGTACCCCTAAGGGTACTTGTACCACTGGTTGAGAAACACTGATCTAGTCTAGCCACCTGAACTGATCGGGGTCAAGTATTCCTAGATTATTCCAAACAGGTCTAACATGTTCTTAAAACCTTCTAGTGATGGGGATTCTCCATTCTCCATTGGAAGCCTATTCCAGTGCTTAAGAATCCCCATAGTTAGATAGCTTTTCCTAATAATTAACCTAAATCTCTCTTTATGTAGATTAAACCAGTTAGTTCTTGTCCTATCTTTGGTGGACAATGAAAACAATTGATCAATAGCCCTTAACATATTTAAAGACTATTATTAGGTCTTCCCTCAATCTTGTTTATTCAACATTCCCATTTTTTTCAGCCTTTCCTCATAGGTTTCTAAATCCTTTCTAAACCTGTTATCATTTTTCTTGCTCTCCTCTGGACTTCCTTCACTTTGTCCACATCTTTATTAAAGTGGTGCCTAGAACTGGTCACAGTGCTTCTGCTGAGGCCTCACCAGAGCCAAAGAGTGGGCCAATTACATTGTGCGTCTTAGGGTATGTCTAGACTACATGGCTCCGTTGACGGAGCCATGTAGATTTGTTTTTTTGGCAAAGGCAAATGAAGCCGCGATTTAAATGATCGTGGCTTCATTTAAATTTACATGGCTGCCGCGCTGAGCCGACAAACAGCTGATCAGCTGTTTGTCCGCTCAGTGTGCTAGTCTGGACGCTCCCCTGCTGACATCAAAGCGTTTTGTCGGCAGCCCCGGTAAACCTCATCCCACGAGGAATAACGGGGCTGCCGACAAAGGGCTTTGATGTCGGCAGGGGGGGGTCCAGACTAACGCGGCTTGATGTCGGCAGGGGAGCGTCCAGACTAGCGCGCTGAGCGGACAAACAGCTGATCAGCTGTTTGTCGGCTCAGTGCGGCAGCCATGTAAATTTAAATGAAGCCGCGATCATTTAAATCGCGGCTTCATTTGCCTTTGCCTACAACCCTCATCTACATGGCTCCATCGATGGAGCCATGTAGTCTAGACACAGCCTTATATATGATATTCCTATTCATACCCCCCAGAATATTAGCCTTTTCTGCAACTGCATCACATTGTTAACTCATATTCAATTTGTGATCCACCATAACCCCCAGATCATTTTCAGCAGTACAGTTGCCGAACCATTTATTCACTATTTAGTTAATTGTGCATTTCATTTTTCCTTCTTAAGCTTTGCAATTGTCTTTACTGCACTTCATCTTGTTGATTTCAAGCCAGTTCTCCAATTTATGAAGGTCTTTTTGAAGTCTAATCCTGTCTTCCAAACCTCTCAGTCAATAGCCACCAATCTTCTGCTGTCCAGTTCTGAATTCGCAACAGAAGTAAGGGTGGCTTGTCACCCACAGATTTTATAAATGTACTCCCAATTCTGTTATCCAGGTCATTAATGAAAATATTGAGTAGTACCAGATCTAGGAATATACCTAGCTGGATCCCACTAGATATGTTCCCCTGTTTGACAGCAAACCATTGATAACAATTCTTTGAATATGGTCTTTCAACCAGTTTTGCAACTACCTTATAATAATTTCATCTAAACCACATTTCCCTAATTTGCTAAAGAAAAATGTCATTGGCACTTTGTCAAAAGCCTTACCAAAATCAAGATCTTACAATTATAGCTTCCCCCTTCATCCTATAGGTTAATAAAGCTGTCAAGAAGGAAGTTAGTTGTTTTGACATGATTTGTTCTTGACACATCTATTTTGGCTGTTACTTATAACCGTGTTATCTTCTAGGTATTTACAAATTGTTTAGTAATTTGTTCCAGTATCTTTCCAGGTTAGAAAAGATACTGGAACAAATTATTAGGTAATCAAAGTTAGAATGGGTTATTGCTCTTTGTTCTACATCCTCTTTGTTCTACTTTTCAAAGATAGGTTCTCTGTTTGTCCTCCTTCAGTCTTCTGGGATTTCACCTGTCCTTCATGAGTAATTGCTAATAGTTCCAAGATTGCTCCAGTTAGTTCCTCAAGTTCTGTAGGATGAATTTCATCAGGTTCTGCTAACTTGAATGGATTTAACCTATCTAAATATTTGTTAACTTGTTCTTTCCCCTTTTAGGCTTGCATTCCTTTTACTGTATTGTTAATATCAATTGTGTTAAGTATCTGATCACTGTTAATCTTTTGAGTAAAGACTAAAGCAACATAGGCATTAAACACCTCAATTTTCTTGACATCTTCAGTTATTAGCTTTCTTTCCCCAATAGCAGAGGACCTACATTGTCTTTGTTTTTTCCCTTGCTCCTAACAATTTATAGATAGGGCCCTATCAAATACATAGTCTTTTAAAAAAATAAACTTAATTTCAGCTATTTAAATCTGATACTTTATGATGTTATGATTGACCCAAAAAGGGGCTTTGGGTAGGGTTACAAGGTTATGATACTGCCACTCTTACTTTTGAACTATTGCTTTTAGAGCTGGGGTATGTCTACACAGCACCCTTAGATCAAAATAAGCTACACAATTTGAGCTATGCAAATTGTGTAGCTTATTTTGAGTGTATTTAGAAATAGCATACACAGCACCAAGTTTCGAAATAACTTGCTATTCTGAAATGCCCCTTAACCCTCATGGAACAAGGGTTACGGGGACAATGGAATAAGCTGCCTGTTATTTCAGAATCTATTTCAAAATAATGGTCTGCTTGAATGGACATGGAATAGCTATTTCAGGATACTTCTGGTATCCCAAAATAGCTCTGCAGTGTAGACATATCCTCAGTTAGCAACCATCAGTTTTCTGCTGCCCTGCTCTGAAGGCAGAGCAGAAGTAAGGGTGGCAATATCACAACCCCTCTAAAATAACTTTGTAACCCTCACTGTAACTGCCATTGGGTCAGGACCCCCAACTGGAGAAATGCTGGCCTCCCCAATAAAATCTGACTAGGTTAGGGTGAAAACATACAAAATACTAGATTTCACCGGAGAGCAAAGGGGAGGAAGAGAAGGGACTAGATTTTACAATCTATGACATGCTTTTCATGCCCATGAATTTGGTAGAGCCCTATTTATAGAAATCCGTATCGCTTTTTTATCCTTTGGTAGGTGTAACATATTCTGTGTCTTAGGCTACATCTAGACTGCATTGCTTTTCTGGGATACCTCTGGTAACACTGCATCTAAGGAACGCATCCACTTTTCCGAATTTGTTTTCAAAAAAGCAGACGCACTTTTTCACCATCCCTGTAAACCTTGTTCTATGAGGGTAATAAGGGATGTGTCCAATTTGTATACACTTGTATTTATCTTTAGCAATTTGTCCGTGTTTCTGCTTTTGCAGGCTTCCTTTCTGATTTTCAGGTAATTAAAAACTCCTGCTGGATTCATAGTGGCCTCTTAATATTCTTCCTATCTGTCCCTTTGATTGGGATACTTTGCTGTTATGCTTTTAATATTGTCTCCAGACAATACAGATAGCTCTTCTGGATTTTATTCCCATGAGACCTTCTGTTTATACTGTGAGTTCACTAAAGTCTGCTGTGTCCCTATTCTGTTGTTGTATCTCCTTCCTTGCTTTAGAATTATGAATCTGTCATTTCATGATCAGTTTCAGTCAAATTGCCTACAAACATCAGATTTATAATTAATTCCTCCCTGTTAGAATCAAGTCTAAAATGGCCCCCTGATTACTTCCTTTACCTTCTGAAACAAAATGTTGTTCCCATTGTATTTCAAGACTATACTTCGAATGTTCTCATGTCACTAACCATAATTTACGTTTGCAATACAAGTGCAGCTCTTGCACAGTTAACTATAATGATTTTTATAATAAAAAACAAATATTGCATATTTCATTATTTATTATTTATTTAATTAAATATTTTTACCCTGCCTCGCTATTTAAAATATTTGAGGCGGCTTACAAAAATGTTTTAAACACAATACAAATATATATACAAATTTAAAATACGAGACCCCAGAGGGACATAAAACCTGCTAAAAACATATAGAGAAGAGGAACATACACAAAGGCTGTGTCGAGACTGCATCCCTTTTTCGTAAAAGGGACGCAAATTAGACATATCGCAATTGCAAATGAAGCGGGGATTTAAATCCCCCCAACTTCATTAGCATAAAAATGGCTGCTGCTTTTTTCCAGCTCGGAGCTTTCCTGGAAAAAAGCGCCAGTCTAGACGCGGATCTTTCGGAAAATAAAGCCTTTTCCGAAAGATCCCTTATCCCTCTTAAAATGATCTTAAAATGAGGGATAAGGGATCTTTCGGAAAAGGCTTTATTTTCCGAAAGATCCGCGTCTAGACTGGCGCTTTTTTCCAGGAAAGCTCCGAGCTGGAAAAAAGGAGCTTTTTCCCAGCAAAGCTCCGAGCCGGAAAAAAGCGGCAGCCATTTTTATGTTAATGAAGCGGGGGGGGATTTAAATTCCCGCTTCATTTGCAATTGCAATATGTCTAATTTGCATCCCTTTTATGAAAAAAGGATGCAGTCTAGACACAGTCATACATACTCAAACATTAATAAAAGCACGAGTAAAAAGAGTGGCTTTAGCCTGACACCGAAACAATGCTGGCATTGGCGCCATGCGAATATCCTGAGGAATAAGGGAAGTGTCGAAAGAACACTTGTATTTATCTTTAGCAATTTGTCTATATTTCTACTTTTGCAGGTTGCCCCAGGGAGCAAAAGCTGAGAAGGTTCTGTTTCACGTAGATGCTAATCTTGTCTCCACAAGTGGGGGAACACGAAGCAAAGCCTCCCCAGATGACCTCAATCCCCGGGCTGGTTCATATGGGAGAAGACGGTCCTTCAGATACTCCGGACCCATAACATATGTAGTGAAAGAAATGTCTGAAGTGGGATGATTTAAGTTTCATTTGCCGAGCTTGCTGTAACCCTGTATAGTTTCGTTTTACTAACCAGCATTACAGGAAATGAAACTAAAAATATAACAAAAACAGTGCTAGATAGTGAGTAATTTGCTCGTGAAAATAAAAATCTCCTGGTTTTGCAATAGCAAGTTATGCCACATATTTGGCATTTCATTACTGTATCTTTCAGTTAGAAATTTCCACTGAATTATTTTGTTCCAATCACTTCTCTAGATAATGCCAATAACTTTTTCAGTAGGAAAAAAAGAGTTGAGAATATCACATTTTATCCCATTAAAGCTTTGTCTGATATTTTGACAAAATGATCAAATAGCAAATTCAAAATAAGCCATTAGCTGGTTTAACATTACATAGAGCATATTTAAAGTTACATGCATCTTCTTTGCCTCTCAGAGATAAAAACTGATAATGCACTTACCAAGACTGTCATACAACTTCTTGCATATAGTAGCTGGAGAAAAGTGTGTATTAGGTAGGAAAACTGGTAAAGTCGTTAAATGGTTGTTTCTTCTAATCAGCTACAAGATGACATTATTTCAAAACCATTATCTTCTTGTGGCAGTAAGTGTCTGGTACATAGGAAAGCTGATAAGAAACTGAAACTATTTCCTTGATCCACTTACGTGATTGACTAACATCCAGTCACATGACCGGAGCTAGCCTTCACTCCTTTATTGGCCACTGTTGCATCTTCCCTTAAAAAACAGTCAACAAGTAAATAACGATTGGCTCTGAACTTCAATGATTTTCTAATCACAAAACTAGGTTTTGTCTCAAACTATTTCTAGGGGGCAGAACTGTGCTCAGAGTGTCTGGGGCGTGCAATTCTTTGCTGTTTGAACAGAGTTTTCTTCTAATCCTGTATGTAGTAGAATGAACATGACGGACTTCAACGGATCTATCCTACAGAACTGACAAAATGAACTGTGGGTGATTATATTATTAAGTCATCTGGAATTCTATGGTGAGCAAACTGCAATGTACAATACATTACAAAGTGTTGTGTAATTGCTGAGTTTCAAAAACATTTGAGTGGTTGTGCAACAATAAAAGATAACTCTGCCTGTTCAACAAAAATAGATCTCAGCCAAGAACAATCAGAAATCTCATGTGGGTTCTTAATAATTTCTCCCCCTATTTATTAGTTGCATACTTGGATATGTTAAATTAGTTGGCATCATCTATGTCTGACCAGAGTAGAGCATTTTAGGCCCCTTCTCTTAATAATTATAGTAGCCAAATAGAGACTATATGGTAATATCCTTTGGCTAGAATCCCATCTTCAGCAGCATTTCATCTTGATAGCCTCAAAAAGACATCCACATGAGGGAGCTTGGATTGGAAGGGGAGGCACAACCTAAAGTAGGGATGTGAAGGAGTAGTTGCTTATTGGGTAGCACTATCGACTACTCGATCACTCCCCTTGTACTGCTGCTTTGAAATGCGCAAATCATGGAACCTGGGATCAGTGGAGGACTCAGAGTCTCCCGCTGACCCTGGGCTCCATGCTGGACTGCTGCTTTGAAATGCCATGCAGAGCCGGGGTCAGCTGGGGACTCTGAGTCCCTGACTGATCCCAGGTTCCATGCTGTACTGCCGCTTTGAAATGTGCAAGAGCTCCAGCTGGGACCTCTTGTACATTTCAGAGTTGGCACCCACATGCAGCCCAGAGTCAGCGGGACTCCCCAGCTGATCCCGGGTTCCATGGAAATGCCATACTGGAGCCTGGGATCCAGCTGACCTTGGGCTCCATGGGCAGGGTTTCAAAGGGGCAGCACTGCACTGCTGAGCCAGTGATCAGCTGTGCAGTGCTGCCACTTTGAAGTATCCACTTCCCCCCTTTTCCTGCCTCTCATAGAGGCAGCGGGGAGGAAGGAGGGAGGAAATCGACTAGTCAACTGACTATTTGATAAGCATTTGCTTATCGGATAGTCGACTTGTCGACTAGTCCTTAACAACCCTAGACTAGTTGAGTAGTCAATTAATCGATACTTGACTAGTAAATTAATCAATACTTACCCTCAGTGCTTTAGGTTAAGAATGTTATGTCTACACTAGCCCCCTAGTTCAAACTAGGGTGGCTAATGTAGGCATTCAAACTTGGAAATGAAGCCCGGGCTTCATTTGCATGTTCCCACGCGGGCGCCATTTTTAATACCCTTAGTTCGAACTGACTGCCCGTGGCTACATGCGGCAGTCAGAAGGTAATCCGAACTAAGTCCTGTAGTAAGTTGAGGGTCAGTAACATGGAGTCCGCAGGCCTAAGGCCTGCAACATGAAAACAACAACAGGCCTGCAATCTAGTGAGCAAGACTTTGGTTCAGTAACAGGAGCCAAGAAAGAGGCCCTATTGATAACTGTGTGATTGTGTAAGTTAGGTCGAACATGGAAGGACACAGGGAGGCACTGGGTACAGACTGTAAGCCAAAGGGGAGTAATGGAACATCTTAATAAGAAATGTCTTGGTACAAAAACTCCCTAAAAACTAATGCACATACCGACCTAGGTTCAGGACCAGGTCGGAATTGATAGCATGAAGGATAGTAAGTAAGCCCCCCTTCCATAAGGTGAGGGGAGGTAACTAGGCAATAGAGGGTTGTAACCTAGTACGTAAATAAATGATGTAAGTTGTTTGTACCCATCTATAAAAGGACACCGCAGAGGGTGCTTTCCGGCCGACCTTGGGGAGGGGCGCACTAGGCGCCTGAACGGCAGGGGGCATTGCCTAAACTTACAGAGTGCCCAGTAGCTTAACTTTGACTAACTACTGTTAATATCTGATCTATGGCAATAGGCCTGCCCGGTGTTGGTACCTTGTCAACACGGGCCATAGTGCCCAGTGGTGTAACATTGTACTGATCTCTGTTACCAACTGGTAGAGCTCCACATTTGACAATAAACCTGCTCGATTGATTTCAAACCTTGCCTGCATCTGTCGTTTCCGGGGCCTCTCAGAGATCTCTTGTGTTGACCCAAGTGCACGGGGTCTAACACTCTAGATAAAGGGAGTACTGATCGTTACGCACGCAGCCGAAAGTTTAACAATGGAGCAGAGGTCCTGTCATGAGCGCGCCAGAACAACCCTGACCAGATGACGCTGACACTGACAGTCCAGACCACCGAAGGTACCGAGGTACGAAAACACCGAGGTGCGACAAGTCCTTAGTTCGGATTAACTGTTACTCCTGCAATGAGGTCTCCTCTATGGCTGCTTCGGCCCTACCTCCTTCCTCCAATGAGGCAGGGGGCAAGGAGGTCTGTCCTTGATCCCCACCTGGTTCGTACCATGCCTGAGCTGTGGATCGAAGCCCTTACCACCTGGCTGGAGCTGGTCCAGGTAAGAGGTGGCTGTGGGGAGCCTGGGTGCCTCCATTTGTTGCCCTTTGGCAGGTGACTGGAGGAAGGGGGCAGGGACATGGAGAATGGGCTGCTTTCAACCCATCACCCACCCTAGGTGGAGCGGGACAGAATCTCCACTCTCATTCCAGTGTCTGTCTTGGCTGAGGACAGTGCATTGGGGGAAGAGGCAAGACATCAGAGGGAATGGGAGGTGGGGGCCCCTTGCTCCTACACTTTTGGGAAGGCGCTGACACCCTAATGCTGGACAGTAAAAGCCCAACTGTTTCAAAGCAGGTCTTGAGGTCCCAGGAGACAGTGATGGTGGCAACCATGATGGTAAATCTATACCTTCCAATCCCCCTGGAATCACGAGTCCCCACTAAACTTTTCAGTTAAAAGTATTTCCGCATAATCATGCCAGTCTAGACGCGGCCCATATTTGCTGATGGAGTAGTGGACATCACACGTTCCAGTAGTAAAAAGAAATGAAACAAATGCTCAGAGTGAAAGGATGGAGCAGTTGAAAGATCTGCCAGCATTAGAACTCTCTGAAAACGTGTAAGACAACTGAAGGAAGTTCAAAGAGCACTTCATTCTGTACTTCTAAGCAATGGAGCTAGTGGAAAAGAAGGCAGTCAGAAGTAATTTTGGCAACTTGTTAGCCCAAAATCATGAGGTTTGGGGCCCTGTTCACTAACATGTCTATTGCCCCCTTAATCTGTTTTTTTCTGAGGTAAAAGTTCCCTGAGTTGATAAGTAAACTCTCAAAGGACACAGATATAAACTTCTGAGAAAATAACTGACACAGACAGTAAACTTTCCAAAACAAAGTATCTCTTTATTAAAATAGCTAATAATCCCTAATATAGTATATAGTAAAAAATCCTACAAAAATCCCTGAGACAAAATCCCTTTTTGCAAGTTAAAGAGCACTTGAACTATAAAAGGATATAGTTCACATGATACTAAGCAAAGCAATGTATCGCAAGGGGCCAGCTTGCAACAAATTGCAGACAGCAGATCTTAAATTGCTTTGAAGTTTACATATATAACCACGCCCCACCTCAAGCATGGACATATTAAACACTGTACAAACCATACTTTGTACTATATAACTATACTATATAACTACTATTTTTAAAGGAGCATTAAGCTTATGCTACAAATCTGTTGCTTCTTTCTCTTTTAAAATCAGAGGACTGCTGCTGTCGAGCTCCTAGTTAGTCCATTCGGTTCCACTCCAGCTTTCTTCTCTTTCTCTCACTGCAGTTTGTCTCTGGCTTTTCTTTATGGCACTTCAGTTCTCTTGCACAGATCTTGCCTTCTCACATTCAGGCTATTCAGCCTCTCGACTCCCCAAAATGCAACTCGCCTTTGATGCTACCTTACATCCCTGTTTTTCTATAGCTTCCTGCTCTTGGCTACAGTTACCTCACTCTTAGCCATTATTTCAAGCTGACATAGCTGACCTTTAAAACAAGTTGTAGCCAGTAGAGGAAGGAGAATTCTCACCAGCTAGAGACCTAGCTGATTTTACTGCACATGCTCAGTAGTTCTAGGATGTCAGCTGTCAGATCTTTGTCTGGGCAAGTCTGGTCTTTTCCTCATGCTCAATAGTTGCCAGTCTTGCACATGCTCACTGATGTCCTTCACCTCAGAGTGCTGCCAAGCCACAAACACTTGTCCTTGGCTCTTTGCCATGCACCGTTTAACATATTTTCCCCAGGAAATCCTAGGTTCATACTGAGCATATTCAGGGGCTACAGCATCCATCTTAGAGGGAAATGACTTTTGCTTACTCAGTCTAGACCAGGGGTCTCCAACCTTTTTAACCACAAGATCACTTTTTCAATTTAAGTGCAATGTAAGATCTACGTCAAACCCAAATACCCTTTCCCCCCTTCCTTCCCACCCTTTTTTTGAGGCTCTTCCCCTTCTCCACCCCTTCTCCGAGGCCTCATCCTACTCACTCCATCCGCCTTTTCCCCCCATCCTCGCTCAGTTTCACCAGAATGGGGTAAGAGGTTGGGTTGCAAGCTCTGGTCTTGGGCCAAGGCGTTTGGAGTGTGAGAGGAGCTCTGGGTTTAGCCCAGGGCAGGGGACTGGGTGTCCAGGAGGGGTTTCAGGGTGCAAGCTCTGGGAATAAGTTTAAGTGCAGAGGGACACATGTCTGGGGCAGGAGGTTGGGTGTAGGAGGAGGTTCAGGGCTGGGACAGGGAGAGGTTCAGGAAGCAGGGTCTGGCTGGGCACTGTTTAACTGAGACAGCTTCTGGGTGGTGGTGCAGTTGGATTAAGGCAGGCTTACTCCTGCTCTGGCCCTGTGCCACTCCTGAAAGCAGCTGGCATGTACAGCAACTGCTCCATGGTGCAACGTGCTGCCCCTCATCTACAGGCACTGAGCCCACAGCTTCTACTGGCCACGGTTCCCTTTTACTGATCAATGGGAGGGGCAGGAGTGGTGTCTGCAGGCAAGGACAGCATGTGGAGACCTGCTGCTCTGCCTCTCTCAGGAGCTGTGGGGATATGCCAGCCACTTCCAGGAGCCGCAATTACCAAAGGGATAATTCTTCCAGCCACTACAGATTAAGCATATTAGAACTCACTACTCAAAGAATTAATCTTAATCATAAGAAAGAAACGAAAATGATGAAATTCACAGACCAGTCTAAAACCACAAACAACACACTTTGTAAGCAGTAACAGAAGGAACAACTGCTCACATATGTGTTGGGTTAGGAGATAAGAGTGAAGGACAGCATGTGTGTGTGAGTGACAGAGACACAC